ATACTTGACGCATGCTAGCTTCTCCACTAACAAACTAGCAATTAGCAAAACTCGACTGCCCTGGCTGCATCCCGAGTCTTCTTTTACAACGCCTTTTTCTCATCTGATTTTTCTTCTTTGCCACAACAGGGCGAGTGGGCGGCAAATGTGAAATTGGGGGTTTTCAGTTCAGCCGACTCAATAACAACTCAGACAGGTGTGCGCACTGACGAAAAGCTGGAGGGGGTGGGGGTTTTTATCTCTCTAAAATATGTATTATTTATTTTTTGAGGCTACAAGCATCTGGTCATGTCCATTCCTATTTAAAAACACATGATCATTTTACTAATTTTGGGGTTTAGCCTCTTAAAACCCGCCTCATTTTGGCTTGTGCACAAAAGTTTGGCATACCCAAATGTCTTTGCTTATTTAAAAACACATCTTACATCTCACATGCTTGTGTGATGCATCATTTTAAAGCTAGAGCCTTCTAGTTTATGTAAAAAAACACTAAAATAATATTTGTCATTCCTATTTTCCTCTGCATCCTTTGAAGTTAGGGAAAAAAACCCAATTTTTTTAGCCTCGCCTAACATTTTCAATTTCTAAAGGCCCTAAAAAAGGCATACTTCATTGTAAGTTCACAATATTCAAACCCTCTGTTCATTGTGTTGTTGACAACAACTGTCTAAAGTTTCAGACTTCTAAGTTTTATAGTTTTTATGCAATTTCTCCTTTTCATCAAGTAGTGCACATTTGGCACAATTTGGCACAAGTGTGCCAAATTGTGCCAAATATCTTTACTTACATTTAATCATCATAAAACCGATATTTTTTATTATTGGTACTTATAAGTTACTAATCTATGTGTGTTTTTCTTTTTTAAATGTCAAAGTTATTTTTTTATGAGTGTAAATTCATTGCAGCTTCGAGAGCGTCTTTTGGCTTCCATTACGCACAATTGTCCAGGCCCAACATAAGACAGGACACCATTGTCCCACCCCTTGTTCGAAAGCGTTCCTCATTGGCTACAAGGACATGTCAATCATAAATCCCGGAAGTAAAAGCAAACAAGTTGGGACCCCACAAAAGATCAGTGATCTATGCGCAAACAGCAGCGCAAGCTGTACTTACGGGACCTCTTGCAGACCCAAAAATTGATCTAGCTTTTCGGGAGTAGTCTCATTTGAAAGATAAGGAGCTAAGGAACACGTGGATACCAGATGTTTGGGTGAAAAACAAAGCTAAAAGTCCGTTAAAAGTGAAAGAGTAACATCTGTGCTCTTTTTTTTCGTTTTTTTCGCTAAAGATAAATGCACATTTTTGGATTATTTCTGCAGAATGGATTTTACTTTGGGAAATACAAGTGGATATAATTTTCCTTTGGACTGTTCCAGAGAGAATGATGTATTGCAAGCTGGGAGGAGAGCTGATTTATTTGTACAGCACAAGCCCAAAGGTAAAAAACTATTTCGGAATTGATTTATTTTGTGCCCACATTATGTGTTATATCTTTTGAATGCAACGTCTGATGTGGTTTACACTTGCATATAAATGTAGATAAGAAAATAAGCTTTAAAATGATATACAGCTTTTGGGGTTTGGTGTTCAAAATACATCTGCTATTGTTGTGATATGTATTGGAACTATATTACCTAAGGCGGAGTGATATACACTAGGCTATGGTACCAGCATGGAATACCCAACTGTTGTATTGTGTACGAGGTTATGAAGTAAACATACTGTGACCTATCTCCGAGCCTCATTCTTCCTCATCATAGAAGATGAGGAAATAGAGGACGAAGCCAAACAAGCTAGGAAAATATGCCGAGGCATTGGAGATGAAGGACTAAAAAGACTGAATGCTAGCGGACTCAGCGAGGCTGATAAGAAAATACCGGAAAATCTGTGGAATTTTTTTGAAGGTCAACTAAAGCTTAATGTAAACTTTAGGATACACAGACTTCATTTAATGCAATACAGACAGAAGCATGATGAAAACATCGATGATTTTGTAACTAGGGCCAGGACGTTAGCGTTGAAATGCCAGTTCACCGATGAGGAACTAAACGAACGTCTGATCGAGCTTATCATTGCCAGTACGCCACACGATGCCCTGAGGAACGATCTATACAGCAAGCCTCCAGGCTACTCCATGGCTGATGTGCTAAAAGAAGGAAGAAAATATGAAGCGTTATCAGCTGGCAATGAACAGCTAAACCAACTTGGTCTGTCTACTTTAGAAAAAGTTCATGCAATACACAGAGGGCGAGCATGTCAGAACTGCGGCACGAGCCATAAACCGCGCCAGTGCCCTGCATACCACGATGAGTGCAACGCTTGTGGCATGAAAGGACACTGGGCAAGGTGCTGCAGGAAAAAAGGACAACAGAAGTCAGACTCAGGTCCAAGGAAAACAAGTAAGTCCCGCCTACCACAAAACAAACAGAACAAACACCAGGCAAACAGGGGAAGGCACAGGCCACAGCACAAAACCAGAATTGATTTGGTTGATAGTCAAGAGCCAGATGAATGCATGTACCACCAACAATTCCACTCGGTTACCGTCAGCGAAAAATGCATGCACAGCATCAATTACAATCTGCCTAGGGAAGAAGCCTACACAACACTGAACGTGAGACCACCTGATGTAGCAGGCTGCGGACACACACTTCGCTTGAAAATAGACACAGGTGCATCAGGGAACACACTTCCACTGCGCACATTCAAGCAGATGTATGGAAGCAACGCACTCACATGCAAAAGACTGAAGAAAAACAACCTGAAACTGTCTGCCTACAGTGGTCACGAGATACCTTGCTATGGAACTATCAACATCCCATGCCAGTACAAGGAATCCAGATGGATAAGTGCCAAGTTCTATGTCGTGGATGTACCAGGACCAGCTGTTGTTGGACTACCCACAAGTGAACTGTTGAACCTTGTCACACTGCATGTGGACACAGTCAAGCAAAAACCTGACAATACAAAGGAAAAAGGGCAACAAGCAAAACAGCTGAAAATAACCACCTGTGAGGAGCTCATAAGGAAATACCCGAATCAGTTTGATAAAATAGGAAACTTTGAGGGAACTGCAAAACTCATCCTAAAGCCTGACGCTGAACCATTCATAGATCCACCACGGAAATGCAGCATCCACATCAAAGACAAGCTCCAAGACGAACTGAGCAAGCTCGTAGAACAAGATGTCTTGCGAAAAGTAGAACAACACACTGATTGGTGCTCCAGCCTAGCATTCAGCACAAAGAAGGACAAATCTCTGCGTATATGCCTAGACCCACAAAAACTGAATGCCAGCCTGAAAAGATGCCCACACAAAATACCTACAGTCGAGGAACTGAATCCAAAATTCTTAAATGCCAAGATCTTCAGCAAGCTTGATGCGAAAGCAGGATATTGGTCAATACATCTTGATGAAGATTCACAAATCCTGACAACGTTCCGCACTCCATTCGGTAGATACTGCTGGAAGCGTCTGCCATTTGGACTGAGTGTGTCTCAGGATCTCTTCCAGGCCAAGATGGACCAAATTCTGGAGGGGCTTGAAGGCGTGGCCAGTATAGCGGACGATATAGTCATATACGGGAAGGATGAAAATGAGCACGACAGAAACCTCACCGCCCTGATGGAACGGGCTGTAGAAGCAGGTATGGTGTTTAACAGCGACAAATGTGTCATTAAGCAGAACAATATTTCATTCTTTGGCAACCTGTACACAGACAGTGGCATAAAACCAGATCCTGCAAAAATAAGAGACATACAAAAAATGCCAACACCCCAAAACAAAGATGAACTGCACAGATTCATGGGGATGTTAACTTACCTTGCTACGTACATACCAAAGTTTGCAGAAAAAGCGCACACCTTAAGAGGACTACTAAAAAATGACACCCTGTGGCTATGGGAAGCAGACCACCAGAAATGCTTTGACGATTTAAAGTCTGCCATCACAGAGGATGCGTGTCTAAAATACTATGACGCCAGCACACCCCTGACACTTGAGGTGGATGCGTCACAGAAAGGCCTGGGTATAGCACTGGTGCAGAACAACAGACCTATAGCATTCGGATCAAAGACCTTAACTGATTGCCAGTCAAGGTACAGCAACATAGAACGGGAAATGCTTGCAATAGTTTATGGAATGCAGCGATACCATACTTACCTGTACGGCAAGTCATTCACCGTGATAACAGATCACAAACCACTTGTCACCATCTGCTCAAAACCACTGCATGCAGCGCCACCCCGGCTCCAGCGTATGTTGATAAAGACCCAAGGGTACAATTATGAAGTCAAATACCGGCCAGGAGCGGACATGGTTCTAGCGGACACTCTCAGTCGGCTACCAAACCCTGAGAACGACGGTGACATTGAGCTGGATGAGAGGATAGATGGAATCGAAACAGAGTTCGAAGTTGCAGAGAGGCATACCATCGCCATAATAAACTTTTCACCTGAAAAACAAAACTCTCTGCGCAGCCAAACTGCGAATGATACAAAGCTCCATGCGCTGAAAGAACTCATTCAACAAGGATGGCCTGAAAGCATAAAGGACCTACCTAAAGACCTGCGTCCATACTGGTCTTTCAGAGATGAACTCGCAACAGAATCAGGAGTCATATTCAAGGGTAGACAGGTACTTATTCCAGACTCCATGACCGCAGACATTCTCACACAACTGCACGTTGCACATCAAGGCATAGAAAAAAACGCGTCGACTGGCAAGAGAATGTGTCTATTGGATCAAGATGAACGATGACATCGAAAGAGTCTGCAGATCATGCAGTGTGTGTGCAAAGCATCAAGATGCAAACCCAAAAGAAACTCTTAAACCACACGACCTACCAACCCGACCATGGCAGTCAATAGCCTCTGACCTTTTCGAAATCAGTGGCCGCCACTACCTGTTGACAGTAGACAGATACTCAAAGTATCCACTTGTAGACGAAATGCCCACTCAAGTAACCAGCCATGCAGTCACACAAAAAATGCAGTGTTACATGTCCTTGTTTGGACGACCGGATGAAATTCTGACCGATAATGGACCACAGTACACAGGACAGGCTTTTCAACTGTTTGTGAAACGGTGGGGGATACGACACGTCACCAGTTCTCCCCACTACCCCAAAAGCAATGGGTTCATCGAAAGACACGTCCGGTACATCAAAGCCATTGTCAAGAAAACACAGCAAAACAAAAGTGACCTACACATAGCTTTGCTACAAGTAAGAGCGACACCTATTGACAGCAAGCTGCCTTCACCTGCAGAACTGCTCTTTGGTAGGACTGTCACCACCCTACTGCCAAGCCGAGCAGACTCAGGTAAAGTGGGACACCGTCAGCACCTGGCACACAGAGCAGCTGTGATGAAGGAACATCACGACCGCAGCTGCCGCAGAGAACTACCTCCACTCCGTCCTGGACAGCATGTGACCGTGTGGAATAAAGAGAGAAGGACATGGCACCCAGCAGTTGTCCAGCAAAAGTGTAATGAGCCAAGGAGCTACGTTGTCCAGACACCGAATGGAAACATGATCAGGCGTAGCAGGAGCCATCTGCGTGGACCCTACAACACGCAGGTGCAACAGACTGTGAAAAGAACCCACCTGGTAGAACCACCAACACTGGATGAAGACCAGGAGGATCGCAGTGACCCAACACAGCCTGCACCTTCCTGTGAAACCGAAAGTAAACCACCAGACCCCAACAACCCTCAGACAGTCCGTACACGATTCGGAAGGGCTGTGGTCAAACCAATGCACTACAGAGACTATGTCTAACAGCAAGCATAATCCACTTGGATAGAACATAGTTCTTGTTCACTTGCTAAGACTGAATTGATGTTGACAGTTTTAAATATGTCCATATTAGCATATATTAGAGACATATGTTATGCTTTTCAAATTGTTGGTTTTAAAAAAGGAAAAAAATATGGTTGTTTTAGGCCTACAGATGCACAGGTAACGCAACTGATTGAACATGTTTAATTACAGCTATGGCTTAATCTTTTGAAAAAATAATTTAGCCCAATTCTTTGTTCTGATTATCTAATAGGGTCTCAGCTTAACAGGGGGGATGTTGTGATATGTATTGGAACTATATTACCTAAGGCGGAGTGATATACACTAGGCTATGGTACCAGCATGGAATACCCAACTGTTGTATTGTGTACGAGGTTATGAAGTAAACATACTGTGACCTATCTCCGAGCCTCATTCTTAAGTGTCAAATAATACTTCAGCTATTGCCAGCAGAACATTTAAAAACATAAAAACAGCCGCCGGCGCGCCGGTTGTTGTAAAGAGGTTAAGGACATGTCCGCGTAGTATTTAAAAAAAAATTGTCTGGATAAATCATTGACTGCCTCTTTCTGTGTGAGATATAGAAAAAGTGCAAAGTATTTCTATTTTTTATTTCACATTATTCTGACCAAATAGGTGATTGTGGATCATTTCCCAAGGCACACCAAACAACATTACAAAACACTGGTGAAGGGAGCATTCAGCCATCCCTCAGTTATTTTTATATCCATCCACACTAGGTACTTGTCTCGGGGGACTTTTGAAAATGTATTCCAATGTGGTTTTACTGCGAATGGCAAATAAAATGAATCTGAGTCTGATCTGAAAAAATTAAGATCTGAAAAACTCCTGGGTTTCACGGTACCATAGAGTCACAAGCGGAAAGCATTTCTTCCCTTTCATTCTTGTTTCATTATATTTTCTTCTTCAATTGTTATTCTAGAACATTCTAACGCAAGAAATGACAAAAGCGTTATATAAACACCTTATCTTTATACTTTTGACAAAAAATGCATGATAATACTCCTTGAAGACATGATATAGACAGAACTGTTTTTCCCTCGCAGCAGGCTGAAGACATCTTATGAAGCTGCTTCTCTGCTGTGGTGGTCTGTAACAAGTGGAACATCCATCTGCATGCTCCGCTCAGCAGCATAGCAGCATCCGTTGCAGCTCTCTGCTAGCATCATATTACAATGCTGGAAATCTTGTATTAAATGAGTGCGCTGTATGGCTGGAGACGAGTGCGGCCTTTCAAAGTGGTTTGAAATAAGAGGCAGAGTGCAGCCGACATGAGCTCTCACATCGAAGAACGGCACTCTAACGCTGGGCAGGGGGAGGGGCCAAGACAGGTATACTTATATACTCGATAACTTGTCACAAGCCATACAAAAATACAAGCTGCCACATAAATGCCAGAGGAGATCCGCCTGCTTGTGTGCCATGTCAACCGGGAAAATGAAAACATGAGCGAGCCTTAAAGCAGCGAGGAAAAGGGCTGCATGTGTGAATGGTACACTCTGGCCAATAAGAAGTGCTGAGAACAACATAAAGCCTATACATAACTCTTTGCATCTGCAGCAGCCTATTTCTCATCGCACTATACATTTGCATAGGCTGCCGCTTCAATCTTGCCTGTGTATTAGAGAGTTATCAAGATGTAATCACATATCAAAACCCAATATCCGCATACATACGAGCTCCAGCTCCAATCAGATTTGCATTTAAAGACTTGATTCAGTCAAAAATCCTCCAGCGAAGCAGACAAGATTACATTTGGGTTCATTTAATATAATGGCAGGCCTCTAGAAATGATTAATAGTAATTGTATGAATCTATCAGATGGTTAAAAGGATTAAGAATGAGACATTGCTGTAGCTCAAATGAATAGACTGAACAAGGTAGGCCATGATTTATATGTGATTTTTGACCAAATAAAAATCATGCTGGCAATTGTATTTTTAAGTATGTATGAAATTCATGTTAATTGTGTAAGTTTCCACCAAGTGGAAGTGCATATTAGTCCACTGAACCATGTGGCAAACTATAAAAGAACAGGAAAAAGTAGCTCTCCTTTTATAGACTCACTCCATCAAATCAATATGAATATAATATATATTCACTAAACTTGAATGCAAACACTTGAATGCAAATGTTACGCATAATTACCATAATTATACAAAGCTGTTATGAGTTGGCGTCGGTGCTGCTCCCTTCCTCCCTGGGCCCTGTACCTCAACATATGGACTCACAGCAGACACCATTAGCATGGCTGATTAAATGGAGGTTAAGTGACTTGCACTTGGGACTAACAATACTGTGGACCTCTGGGGACGCTGGCCATGGGGTGCACCTCATGGACAGAGCATGTCCGGCCGTAGGGTGCCTGCTCCAGTGCTATAGTGACGCATCGTACACTGACTGTGTTTGTGGTTGGACTTGATGAAGGTGCGAAACAATAAGGATATGAGCCAGCGTCACCGGGGAGAAGGATAGGGAAATGTGTCAGCGACTGCACAGGGAGGCGGCGGATTCCTCTGGATGGAACTCGCCTGCTCCGAGGTTGCTTTAATGAGAGCATAGAGAGGGAGGGAGTGAGCAGCAGCCTCAGCCCATTACAGCAACCTAAAGAAAATCAATGATGAATCTCAAGTTCAAAGGCATCGCAGTGAGAAGTTGACTGTAGGTCTAAGAAAGCTGGGACAAGGGATTTCTCTCTATACACAATACATTATATTAGATACACTGCAGCTGACAGATGGCAGCGCTCTGTTGTTTTCCAGCACAAACAACATATTTCTAAATTTTCCACATAAAATGCATGTTTGTCAGAGAGAGAGTGAGAAAGAGTGAGAGGGAGTGAGTGGTTTTCCCGCTTATTAGACAGACGAAAAGCTGCACACCAGGGCAGGCCCTAGAGCCGTTTTCATGGCTGAGGAGACAGAGCAGTCGGTAGAGCTCGTCTCCTCTCCAAGCTTCATAAACATTTATCTTGTAATTCCACAGTGACAAACTCATGCTCTTGTTACAGCTGAACTTGTTCTTGTACTAAGTGCCAATTTTGTTGTCACTTGTTGAAACTGGCTATATTCTTGTATGGCTCCCTGTGACTGAAGGGAACATGTCCTGCTGCTGAAGGAGATGTGGACCTCTCTTTGTCTATACTTCGGTCCAACCTGCAGCAGGGGATGAATCTATTACATTCTGGCTCTTCATTAGCTGAATGTCAGGCCAAAGTCTAACGGTGCTTTGGATTTTAAAGATACCCTTATTTTCTCACTGCAATAAACTAGTGGTTCCAAGATTATAGCTTGATTTTTTGTGTGTGTTTCAATTGCATCTGTAAATGTTGGATATAAGCTGTTGTTGCCAGGAGGCAGTAGTTCACAAAGAACACATTTGCCTTAAACACCACAGCCAGTCCATCTGCTGATGATTATAGGGTATGGCTGATAGCTCTGGAAAATTGAGGCATTTTACACGGTTAATCAAGCGGTGTTTCAGCTCCATGTATGTCTAAAGTAAGAACCAATCTGACTGACTTAAACAAAATGTAATCATCTTAATGCAACATTTCCTTTTTCATTAAAGTATAACATTCTGAGCCCTTCTCTTGAGTGGATCAGGCTGATTTTACAAAGGCAGAGGCCACAATTACTTTTTTTCATCGTTTGAAGTCGCAAGTAAGTGATCTTCACACTTTGTGCATACTGATTTTCACGGACATTGTCCTTGAGAGGCATGTGATTAATAATGAATACAGTGTGACCACGGTGAGCCTTGGGCTTTGTACCAGTGGCACAAGTCTCATTAAAAATACCTAAATCTTTCTGCAGCGATTACGAGATAAAGTCTGCTTCAGGTTCACTCGGCTTTCTTGTTTGCAGCAGCAGGATGCAGGAAATCAGAGAAATGCGATCGTGTATCAGTGCTGCCTACAGCTATAGTCCTGCATCACCGCAGTCTGCTGCTGCTATTCTGGGAGTGTGTCAGAAGCACTGATGTGTGAGGCATTCAGGTTTACACCACTAAATATACAGATAATGACTGACATTCTCACCATCGCTCACATTATTAAGTCGGGCTGAATACAGGAGATTAACACTGAGCATTTAAAGAGGGGCACTGCTAAACATAAGCGATTTATCAGGGTATTAAAACGATTTGCCAGACAAAACGCTTGTCAACATGTATTTAAGTCACCAGACCCCTGATACATTCCTACCTGTGTGTGATGCTGATCTCTGATTCCATGGCTATGGTCCACATTTAGACAAATGCGCCTCGCTGAGAAACAATGTGTGAATCATTTGCATTACTTATATTTCAAATGGGAGATTAGAGAAGAGCGAGAAACTACGAAATTGGTGCATTTAAAACAGGTGCCACATGTGTAATGCTACTTTAGATATGATTCTCCATGAGCCAAAGCAACACTAAATTCACTTATCTTTCTGGCTGGATGGGGATTCTGCATGTTAGAACATTAGCTGCTCATTAAACTCAGTGTTAAATGAATATGGGATGGAGTGTCTTAGCAAATGACCCAGACACTCTCTCTGCGACATCTCCAGCTGTTATTTATAAGCAGCCAGTTTGCAGGCAGGGAAAACACTGTTCCTCCATTAACCTATACTTTGCAACAAATATATTTTTTGTTGAATCAAATTGTTTCAAAGTGATCACAAATATGATCAAAAGAAGATATTATAAACTCAGATGTAAATGTTATCTGAGTTTATAATATCTTCTTTTGTTGACAAGTTTAGAGAGAAGACCTCAAGGTAAATCAGTACATGGATGACTGGCAGACTTACATTTATCCGAAGGTGCTACAGTGTATAAACACTTTTAGAGTTAGGTTTTGTGGCAATAATTACCTTAAACTATACAACTGTCAACTGTAGACAAGGGTCTGCACTGCCCACCCAAGCGAACAGCCTGCTGTGATCAGCCCGATCAGGATCGACATCAATCAC